GGACGGATAAATACATCGACATACATGCCAAATTTATTTCTGTGAAGGGACATGATTTTCAAGAGTAGAGCTTGGAAGGGACCAGAACTTTTGTTCATGAGAGATTCCAAAGTTTGAAGAACTATTTTGATTTGCAAGATTATTCTGTGTTACAGTTTATAACTTAATGTGACATATTTTGTTAATTTTCCCATTTAAAGCCAATGAAAATTCTGCATAGATCCACATGTCTGAGAAAAAGACAACAAAAGACCCACACCAGCACACCTTTATCTAAAATCATGGTTGCTGGTATTAATGAAACTAATGGAGGGCTTGGTCTGCATGAGTCATCTAAATCCAGACTTTACCTCTTCAAAATTTGCACTCAGCTGTGCCTGATCAGGTTCCTAAATTTGCAGTTCAGTTTTTGTGGCACAAATATAGAAAGTACTTATTTGTGTAGTGGCCTCATAAACATTTTCAGACCATGCTTACCAAAATGACTTCTGCACAGCATGGAAGCAGAACTTCCGTGCTTCTTGCTTTATCTGACAACTCAGTATGTAGAGAACTGGTCTAGGACTTGGCTGAATTCTGCTGGTGGCAAACTCCATCTTCTGTCTCCCAAGAAAACATCATAGACCCTCAGCTGGATAGCATCTCTGTGAAAGCTGCTTGAATTCATATTAGAACAAACAACCCCAGCCAAACATTCCTGGGCATGTTGTTCGAGAGTGAGCATGACTGTATTCTTCTAGGTAGGTCTGTGCCCAGGAGGGCACTACACCCCCACCTCTGTGACTCTTAAATGTAGGTGACCCAGTCTGATTGAGCACTGCAGCAAATAAGCTGTTGGACAAAGCAGGAGGTAACTGCTTAGTGTTGCCTTGTCAAAAGAGGCTGGGAAGGTATATGAAAATGTAAACCTCCAGGTCATCCACAGAGGGAAGCATACCCATTCTCCTCAGAAATGTATTACATGTTGAACCCTGTAATTGTCTTCTGCTCCTTTTTGTTTGGCTTGCTAGTGCCTAGAAAGCTGAAGCACCAGATTAGTGTCTTAAATAGATTAATTCTAGCTCACTAGTTCAGCAGTGGTTCGTACCATCGGTGTTACAATGCGATGTCCAAGTCCCTCTGTGATTCTAGTTCTAAGCATTTGTTAGCCAAGTTGCTAACCTCTTACTTTCAGAAGCCTTTCTGAAAATATGTCTGAAAATATTTTTGTGCATTTGTAAAGTATTGTTTTCTCTCTAAAATACTACACTCCTAATAATACCTACTGCTTTAGAGAGTCATTCCAATACCTATATTGTGCTCCTATATTGAAGTAATTTTATGGAAGCTTTGCTATGTGGCAGCCTAAGTAGGGAGAATGCATCAACTTGCAGCTTTACTACAGGTACTTGTGAGTATGTGTGTTAGACTAAAACACAGAACCATCCATGCAGGTTTTGCTGTGTAGGAAAAAATGCCCTTTGAGTAGAAAATACTACATAGAGAATAAGGAGGAATATGTTATTGTTAATTATTTTGGGACAAATCTCTATTTCATCCCTTCAGGTCACTAGAAAGATCATTCGGCGATACGTTTCTCCAGATGGCACAGAAAAAGAGGAAGTCCTAATGCAAGGGCCACCACAAAAACCTGTCACTGTCGAAGAAGGGGATGGCTATTCCAAAGTTGTAAAACGGGTTGTGCTGAAGAGTGATGGTGCACAGTCAGAGGTCAGATCTACTTTCTTTGCTGTGATACAAAGCCGCAGTACACCAACACCATACTTCGTAACTAATCTCACTTATGCCAACAACATTCAGTTGTGAACGATACTTTTAAAAGTTCTCTTGCAGACAGAAAGGCCTCAGAATATAGACAGGGAAAAGCCAGGGGGTAGTCAGGGAAAAAGGGCAATTTTCTCTGAAAATAAGTCTGGATAGAGATTCTGTGATTTATGACAACTACTAAATTAATAAAGAAGGCAGCTTTGTACTAAGATGAAATATAGGTAAATGGCAAATCTGTATTTGTTATTACATTTCTCTAATAAGAAAATTAGTGAATGCTGTAATGAAATGGATCTGATTTTCTCTAGATTTCTACAGCTAAGCCCTTCTAAAGCTATACAATTATATTAGGTTTAACTTACTGGTGTGTTCTTTGCTTTGAAGAGGCTAAAAAATAAAAAGTATTACTTCCATTGAAACTGTTTGTAGAGCCAGGTAACTAAAAAGATAAACAACCTGAAAATGTGTCTTTTCCTGCCTTAGTTCACCAGGTAGCCCTACAGAGATTTGCATCAGCACAACTAAGGTTATGATCGAGGGCCAGAAGGTGGTAATAGGGCTCCCTTTCAGCAGCACTTCAGTTGAAAGCAATGTTTAACAAGTTGTCATTAGAAATGCTAAGAACATAATTGCCATTCTCTCTTGCCAGAATCAATCATCAGAATTAATTCTCTAGGATTAAGGTAACAAGAAAACAAAGTAATGTTTTTTAGTTAGTTGATCATACCAGAGCTACTCTTTATCATATGGAACCCATATACATTAAATTTATATTTTGCCAAATCAAATCATGTTTGTCACTTTCCTGTGGTATTCTAATATTCTGGTCTGTTGCTCCTGTAGAAGTTCCTTGCTTTTACAAGTGTAACTCATTTCTCAGAAGCATATCTTAAAATTAAGATATGGATCGATACCACTGCTTTGTACTACCCGTGTGAATACATCAAGGGCTCACAGCAAGAGGTCCACTTGTTACTGGGTGTAACTCCAGTGGCCTTGGCAGGTGAGACAGTAGGGCAGCCTGTGGTGCAGTGGAGGGTGGCCATATTCCTGCTACCCTCTGGCTACCTCAGGTGCCAGCAGCAGTTTTCACCCTGCCAGCATAAATAAAGCAGAATAAATTATCCAGGGCTGTTCCTGCTGAACTGGCATGTATCCTACAACACCTCTTTCTGGAGCTGTAAAGCAGGTAATAAAATTTACGCTCACTATTTTGATGCATACACATAGAAAGTGAGACAGCTCTGATATTCTTGGTCTCTATGCCAGTGATAAAGAGAGAACAAATAGAGTAACTAAAGGCTTTGTTAGTATCCATTCTGTAATTCATACCCGGTGTACTTCTGCTTTCTAACCTTACAGGTGACCCTGTCTGAACCTGCTGCTTTGCCTAGTGCCTCCAGATTCCAGTCTGAACCCGTGGAAGGCCGGAAGGTCAGCAAAGTCACAAAGACCACAGTAGTGCAAGGAGAGAGAACAGAGAAACGCCTGGGGGATGCTAGCTTAGCTACTGATCTTCCGTCAGCCAAAGAGGACTTTGAAGAGGTACAAATGACTTTTAAATATAAATATTAAAACAAGTGTCTCAGCCTACCCGGGGACAAATTCTACTCTGTTGAAAGTTTTGTGTGTGGAGCATCATATTCAGCTGTGGAGTATAAACCTCAGTTGTTATACTCAGCCATGTTATAAAAGGATTAGTGTATGAAGTGCATGTGTGGGAAGCTGACATTACAGAATTAGCTATGAAACATTTGAGGGTTCTAAAAAAACCCATGGAGGCTTTAAGTAAAGTTGTTAGAAATCATGGGTGTGGTTACTGTTAAAAAAAAGTTCATTCATATGTTACCACTTATGGAGCTACTTTTAGAAATTGGTAGAGTTAAGTCATAATCCCTGGGTAAATTGATGTATTTGTCCTTGAAGGGAAGAAAGAGCTACTAAGCTAATAAGCACCTTTCTTGGTTTTATGCTTTTTCTAATCGGTTTAGACATTTCAGTAATAGAAAAGTGATATTGAATTAATACAGCTTTTTCGATAAGGAACTGATAGTGCTTCATTCTCAATGCATTTTGTTGTCCCTTGGAACAACACATGTAAAACGCATCTTAAAGATTCACGTGGATAAAAGTTATGTGTCATTAGATGCAACGCAAGTACTTGGTTTGGTTTTTTAATTTGACAAAATATAAAAGCATAGATGCAACAATATCATGGCCTGGATATTTTCTGCTGTACAACAGCTTGCAGGAAGACAAGAATCACTAAGCTATTAGATTGAGATGCCAAATTTACCATTACAAATATAAGTCCAGCAGCCAGATCCTTCTCTCCTGATAATAAAAAAATAAGCAGCAAAACCTGTCACGTAGGGGTTCAAAGGAACAGCTTGGGAAATAAAACTTTTTTCCCAGCGTGCATCTTTTAGCTTAGGAAATCGGGAAACCTGTGGAAGATACCACAGACAAACCCACATCCAGCCAAAAGGAAAATAAAATGCTGACT